CAAGGTTTGTACACCTTCCTCTGCTTCTCCATACCCATATAGATCCAAGTAACAATTGATCCATCACTGATTCAATTTCTGATTTTAGATAAAGTCTTGTGCTTGATTTTCAATTATGATTCGTTGTGTGTTTTGCTCTAGTTGCTTTGTGTCAGTCCGATTCGGAAGATACTGGGTTTGAAGTTTCCGATGTTAGTGAAGAAGAGAGTGATGTAGAGGAAGTGTTTGGTTTGGAACTTACTTCAGCTCCTGGAATTGAAACCCTTTGCGTTTTCCCTAAAAACACCGCAAAAAGTATTGATTTTTCTTGTTTCTACATCTTTTTAGAATTAGTGTTCTTCCCTTGTGCTAATCTCTGAGTTGGTGTGATTTCTGCAGTAATTAAAGCTGGAGCTGAGACTGAGCTGCTAGTTGGAATGAAAAATGATGGTAATAATGAAATGGTTTTTTTCATCAAAGGATATTACTTGAAGTTTAGCTAAAGATTTGTTGGATTATATGAATGAATAGGTCAATCCAGTGTAGATATTGTTGCTGTTAAAGGCAGTTTACATCTTCCTTTTGATCAGAAGCCTCTGGTTCAGAATCTCACCGCTCTGGTAATCAATGATCTTTTGCTTCTCAACACATTTATTGCCTCTGAATCTTATGTGTTCAGTTTGTCTTTTCCAAATCAGTATAGTTTACTTTTGTTAGATTCTTTTCGTTGCCTGTTGTTGTCTCATCTCATGTCACTCCACACTCTGCGCCATAAACATTTGCCTTTCTAATCCGGTGGTGTGTTTCGTGTTCTATGCATCTTGTCTCGGTATTTCATTCTCTTTGATAGCTCTCTCATAGTTTTATAACAATACATTAACTTGTTACTTCTTTGTTTCAGAATTCAAGAAAGTCTTTCTCTAGCTTTTAATCTTTGCTCATCTGTGTTTTGAGAGTCAGCTACTTACGTTGATGGTCTCTCTAGGCCGTAGCTTTATTAGTTTCTTTATTTCTAGAATTAGAACCTTAGAATGCCTTCGCTTAATTTATACGATATTTCTCCCCTTTTCCTTTTTTCGGCCTTTTGGTAACTTGTCTACATATTATCGTCTCTTTCTATTTGTAGAGCTTCAGCAACGCATCTGTTCCAACTTCCGCTCAAGCTACCTTCCCATATACTTTTGCTGTCAGCAAGTTCCTACAGGTATGTTTGTAATCATATAGCTTTTTTGTAGTCATAAGTCTTCGACTCCGAAAGACAATAAAAGGTAGAAAAGTATCTGAGCTTAACCATTTCCTTGTGCAGGCGGGTGCTTTTGATCTAGTTGGCACCATCATCTATGAGATAGATGGTAAGCCATACCAAAGCACATTTTACAATGGAACCATCGAAGTTATTGAAGACGGTCCTCTCTTCAGGATGGAGTCAGTCTTCCTTAGCGGCGTTTTAATTTCGGTTATCATTGTTCTTATCATCTATATCCAAAATGGTCTGCGGCATATGACCAAGGTACGTGAAATACTTATCGCATTTTCGTTTGATGTTGTGTCCTTCTCTCTTCGGCAAAACAATCCTGAAACTCGTTACTGAAAATTGAAAATGGTTGAAAACTAGCCTAAACTGTCATTTCCTCGCGCAGAAAACAAAGAGATCACCAAAAGTTGAAGTTGGAACTGCAACTAAAGATGCTTCGCTTGACGAATGGCTTGAGGTACTTACTTACTCTTCACACAAGATCTAATAACTTTTTCATTATGGGTATTGCATTTTTTAGTGTTTTGGAATTGATACATTGCTCTTGATTGACTATGCAGGGTACTGCGTACACTCGATCTTCGAGCAAGTCAAAGAAGAAGAAGTAGATTAGAGCAAATCTCACACGCTTTGTCTGTATCTCTGAGGACTTGTAAAACCAAGAGTACACGAACTATACTAACTTACAGATAGAGAGAGAGTTGTTGGTAGAGATCCTACTTCCCATTGTAACTTCACATGATCTTTGAGTGGCTCTTTTTCCCCTTCTAGTAATGTTGCCAGGAAACGAGTTTTTTTTTTTCGTCTAGAAGAATTTTCTTTTGTTTAAAAAGCAGTCCCATTTAAAATTCCAAAATTCATGAACTTGGCAAAAAAGAAAACAAAACTAGAAAAGTCATTAGATTGCATTGTTTTTCTTTACTTTTTGTTTTGCCATAAGATTCTTACTTATATCCTCTCTAGGAAACTAACTACATATCTGAGTCCCTCGACATTAAATCAATGCAAACCAATCATTGATAAGGGTTGAAACTAACTACATATCGACGTTACAAGGTTTTGTTTAACCGTTGAAATACTCTTTTATGGAAAATGTTCTCGTGCATGATTCAATCATTATCTAAGTTTCACTGTACGTTACAGTCCCCTCATATACAACAGTTTACACATAGCCAAACATTACATTGTCTTGAGATAACCAAATGGTTTAGGTAATGCGCACAAACAAATCGCACAAAGTCTTATAATCGTGAAGTAGAGGCCGTACAACTAGTAAATGGAGTTAGTAGCGGCCAAAAGAGCAGCACCGATCCCAGACACGTCTTTGGTATGTTTGAACTCAATGTGACTTGCAAACTTATCACCAAGAAGATCGACCACTGCGTCTTGCATATACTGTCGAAACAGTGGGTGATTCTCGTAAACTCCACCATCTATAGCCACAACGGTTCTTTTACCTGAACTCAATCTTTTGGTGTCTTTCTCAATCTTCTCCAGAATTGCCACTATACCAGCTCCTGCTAGACGCCCTCCGCGTTTCACTACTGTGTCACACACTTCGGCCACCCTCTTTCTCGCCTCCAGATTCGCCTCTACCTGTTTCCAATATTTGTCATTGTTTCTATTGTGTCTTCCAATTTATGGATGTGATTCTTTTCCTTT